TGAAATGAAATGAAATGAAATGAAATGAAATGAAATGAAATGAAATGAAAAGAAAAGAAAAGAAAAGAAAAGAAAAGAAAAGAAAAGAAAAGAAAACCAGTACTGTAACACTGCCCGGATGGCACTTAACACCAAATAGATATTTTTCTTTTTGCATTTTCATAAGCATAACATATTTTCTAGACAGCTACATAATAGTCTCTAAAAACATATTCTACCAGACAACAATTCAGCTGTGCTGCTAATAAAAAAAAAAATAATCTCTTACATTACGAACTCTCATAAACCAGAATTTTTAACAAAACATTTTAGAACTCTATATTTATTACTACAACAATTGAAGACTTTGCCTTATGTTCTGCAGCTACTTCAAGGAGACTTCTATTTACTCACTTTAGTCATTTGGTCTGCATCTGGTCTGACTGCAGGAGTGACATTTAACAACAGTTTTACATGTTCACGGACATCTTCTGGGATGTTCTGAAGATTACTGGAACCCAACCGACTAAGCTGTATAGAACACATGCCATCGTTAACAAAAAAGAAATTCTTGCCTGTAGTGTTTGTACTATATAAAAATCTTTCTGGCTTAGAATTTCATCAGATACAGCATACATTTTCACGCTCACAAATCAGGTGTGATATTTGAAACCAGCCATTATTTCATAAGTCAACATTTGAAAATACATGTTAACAAATTTGCAATGTACCTGATCCAGCTGTCTGCTGAAGCTTTTATATATATCTTGCTTGTTGACCTCAAAAATGGGCTTTCCATTATTAAATACAGCATACATAATTGCCCCTAGAGAATACATGTCACTAGCTGTTTCACAGCTTACTGAAAGGATGTATTCTGGTGCCAAATACTGAGGATTTGGAAGACACAAAGATGGTAAGTTTGGGTCCCATTCTTTAGAAGAGAATTTTGGCTGCAATAAGAAGAACAGTGAAGTCACACATTTTAAAACAATAAAATTTAAAACAAATTTACTCTAGCTAAATAATATTAATATTCCAAAAGTCTTACCTTAACACCTAAAGATATTTAGATCTATATTTTTAAAAGATATATGCCCCATTTTAATTTAAAATTCATTTAACCTTTTGATACACATTTTTAAGATTAAGTGAAAAAAAGCTTACCTTCATATGAATGAATGAATGAATGAACGAGCGTGCGTACACACACACAGCAGCCTACTTCATTTTAGGGTTGTTCCATATGTAATGGATGAGGGAGAATAGGCTTCAGCTCAAGCATGGCAAGACTGAGTTGCTGTGAATTTTAAGACCCCTGACTCTGGGAATTTTCCATCTTTAACTCTGTATGGGGTGCCCTTCCCCAGTCAGGATCGGCGCAGAGTTTGGGAACCCTCCTGGACTCTTGGCTCCTGCTTGAAGAACAGGTGGCAGCCAAGGCCAGGGGGCTTTTTGCACAGGTTTGTCTTATGCACCAATTGTGGACATTCCTGGATTGGGAGACCTTGCTCGTGGTGACTCATCTGGATTACTATAATGCTGCCCTTGAAAAAGCTGGTCCAGAATGTAGTGGTATGGGCAGTTTTTGGTGTTTCTCATTATGACTACGTAACACCACTGGTCCATGAAGTTACCATCCCTTATGCATTCACTCATTTTAAACTTTTAAAACTTTAGATTAGCTAAGCATTAGATTTTTAGTATCTTCAGCTGGGCTTTATTTAAGAAAAAGAACAAATTCCTATACTTACTAAGTTTGGGGAGAAAGTAGGGTACTATATGATTGTGTGACAAAAGCTAATGTTTTCAGAGGATACTATTTTTTTGAACTATATACCTAGCACATGGAATTTGATATCTGGACAACATAAATGGATTCTCCATGCCTTTACTATAGCCAAAAGACTGATATTGCAGTATTGGAAAGATAAATGTATGGACCTGTTCACTCAATGGATTGAAGACCTGATTTCACTTGCCACTTATTATATTATAATTATAATTATAATTATTATTATTATTGGATAGCCTATAGACATAGACTTTGTATGGAAAAGTATAATGAAATATAGGACTCATTTATACAAAATATAGCAGGTTAAAAAAATGATAGTCACATAAATGTATTGGAAATATATATGCATTTGAATATTTGCATTAGATAAATACATAGATTTGTAACTACTGCTGTAATGATATATACTATGCTAAGTTTTTATTTTCTCTGTTGTATTTTTGTCACTTTTTGTAATAGCACTTTTTAATTTTTTTTCTTCTTGATAGTGTATTATTATTTTTGCATTTTGTTTTCTCCTTTTTGTTATTAATTAAAAAGCAGTAGAATTATTTTAAAAAAGAAAAAGAACAAATTAAACACTTTATTACCTCTTGTTCAGATGGATTTATAGACTGAATGCAGAAGTCAAATCCCATAATTTTCCATGCACCACTTTTATTCAGAATTATGTTTTCAGGAGTAAGGTTGCCATGGACCATTTTCACACTGCTGTGTAGAAATGACAAGCCTTCTGAAACCTGTTAGGAAGGACAAGTTATATTCTTGTGAGAATGTCTTTTTTTTCAGCTTTCTGAAACTTAACTATGATGGATTGTGTTTGTTTTCACTTGCAACTACTATCTCAATACTCTTACTATCACACAATGTAACCAAGGCACACTTGCTCAACCAATCAACTGTAGTTAGCTCTTTAAGCCCTCCTTATTCACGAAAAGTTTTTACACAATCTAAACAAGAACTATTATTCTAGAACACAGACAGTGGAATACAAACTACCAAGCTATCTGAACAAGTTAATCTATTGAGAAGTTTCTAAAATCTTTTAAGAACTGAAAGCAGCTGAGGACTGCAGGTTTTAAATATCTAAAATGTCTGAATTCACTTGCAGATTATTTTACAACATGGAAGGAACTGGTGTACACATTTATTACAAATTTTATTGTAAACAGCACTTTTACTGTTTTCTTTCTTTAGAAAGAAAAAAATGTGGAATAGGTGCCTCATGTATATATGGAAAACGCTGAGGTGTTCAAAAATAGAGCACAGTATTGCAAAATGCTGCAAGACCTACTTCTTCAAATATGTTCATCTTCATATCTTCAGTCATGTAATGGTCCTCCTGCACTCAGGCTGGTAAAGTTAGAATATGCATACTCATTTATAGACAGACAGACCGACACACATATAATTTTGAATATATTATAATTACCGAGGCATTGGTATTAATGTAAATATACAAGTCAATATATACCTGAAGTAAGCCATATTTCATTTCCACATCATACAAGTTATATTCTTTGATGTCAGATGGTAAGGGTGAAGGAAGATTGTCCCAGTTACCAAGTATATTAGCCAAGCTTGCACTAACTGGTTCTGTACAAAATGCTAAACAGTCTCTAAAAGAAAACAAGAATAGCCTTACTAAACACTCCAAATGTTAAATTTAAAACAGGGATAGGTATACTAATGTAGGTAATTTATAGGTTGTATAGCACACTGGCAGCTAGAAAAAGCATAAGATGTTATGATAAGCAGAATATACTTCAATTTCAGTGTTTCAATCTTAACAGCAAATATCACGCCTCTAAATACAATAAATCAACATTATTTCACAAGATTCAACACCACAGTAAAAGTCCATAAAAGCTTATCAGAATCACTGGAAAAGAACAAAATGAAATTTCTGAAGACTTCAAATAGGACCTTTCATTTTTCCTCATAAGACTCTTCTGCATTCAAGGAATGCAAACTGAATTAATTGCATGTATTTTATCACCCATTTCTTATGAGCAGGATATAAAATACAGTATTGTGCAAGAGTTTTAGGCAGGTGTGAAAAAATGCTGTAAAGTAAGAATGCTTTCAAAAATACTGTATATACTGTAATTGTTTAGGTTTATCAATTTACAAAATGCAAAGGGAGCGAACAGAAGAAAAATTAAATCAAATAAATATTTGGTGTGACTACCCTTCAAACCAGCATCAATTCTTGCACACTTTGTACACTTGCACAAAGTCAGGGATCTTTCAGGATTAGAGTCAGGTGTATGATTAACCAATTAT